GCCCCTCCACATGGGAAGGAAAAGCAAACAGCAAAGTCTTGGATGCAGCAGCCGACCTGCTTCAGATGCACAGGACACCTAGTGCCAGCACCCCTCTCTAGTGCTGCCTCACGTCCCAGTTGGCCAGTTGACTCCTGGGGGGCAGATGTCCTATTTCCTCCCAAGGTGCCTGGCTCAGTGCTGAGCCCCAATTAAGAGATTAAGCGGCCCTTGGAGAAACAGAAAGGGCACCAAGCTCTGAGTCAAGAGATCTGAGTTGAGGTCTTGCCTCTAGATAGCATATGGCTTCGGACAACCCTGGACCTCATTCTGCTCATCTGGCTGGTGAAGGGATTTCCAAACTTCTTTAGTCATGGAGCCTTTTCATCAAAGGAAATCTCAAATGAAACTCTGATAAGTAAGGCAGATAAAACTGAGTGTGCTGTGCCTGCCCATTCCTACAGCCTCCCCCCACCTGCCCTGCCTCTTGGGACCTCCCTAGGCTCCCAGGAACCTGGTCTGATGTTCTCCTGACATGGATACCTCTTCACTAATTGCTTCACTAATTTTCTTGAGGATATTAGGCCAGGCTGCTCCTGAAGCGGAGGGGAGGTGTCCCCCACTCCCTGCACTTCTAGGTCTGGGAAGACAGGCAGGATGGTGGGCCTGACCAATCATTAACTAACTTAATCTCTGTGAACTGTCCTGGGGGGCCTGGGTCATGGGCCAAGCTCCCGGCTCAGGCCCTGGGGGTCCCTGGGGGAGGAGGGTAGAGACCCTCTTGCTAATAGGCAAGGGCACTTTGGGTACCTGCCTCTTTTTTCCCCCCCTAGGATTTCCCCGAAGGAAAACATGAGTCTAACCTATTTCCCTAATCCTTTCTGTTTGACTTGAGCCAGATGCTTGTGGGTTTATATTCTCTGAGAGTTTGCTCACTCATGGGGGGGTTGAAACAGAGAAAGGGGAGGGAAGTAACATGTATCTGACACTCTAGACCAGGAGCTTCACTTGTATTGATAGTCTCCATTTATCTTCTCACACCACAACTCCCATTTTACAGATGAGGAAACCGAGGCTCAAGCAGATAATATGATTTGTCCAAAGTCTCTTGGCCGGGACATGGAGACTCCAAGATAGAGTTCAGCCTGCTGGGCTTTTTCTATCACATACCTCGGGGGTGGTGGGATGGGGCAGGGTAGCTGGTGGGGGCTTTTCACAGTATGGATTCACCAAGCCAGTATCTTTTCAAAAAAGACAGAGGTTCTGGTCTCCCAGGTGAGAGAGGAAGCTGTTCTGACCTGCTGGGATTTGAGGGGTTCCCCGAAACCATCTCTCCCCTCCACCACTTGGCACCATGCCCTAGATTTCACCCATCTTTGAATTAGGCATTGTCTTCTCCAGGGGCCTTTCAAAATACGAAGACCCCTGGAAGATGTGACAGCTTATATCAATGATCTGAGCTGGAGTGTTTGATGGGGTGTTACAAAGTCTTAAAGCTTAGGGAGTGTAACCTCGGGCTCTTACCTAGGAGGATCCTGAGGTCCAGAAAGGGGAGTGACTTGGCCAAGGTGACATGGCATGCAGCAGACTTGACCGCCGCTCCCCTCTGCTGTTTCCTGGTTTTCACACATCTGTGACACACAGATGGAGACCTCAGGGCACCTGTTGGGGGATAGGGAAGGAAGAAAGCTTTGTGCCCCGCCCCAGCTGAGTGGCCCTGCCCTGGTCACAGGCTGGTGTCCTCTGCCCTCTCTCTCGCTCATGGGCAAACAACAGCGCTGCTCACTGTTGCAAGCTAGGCCTATCTCTAGTGTCTGCTTGTTTGTTTAATTCTCCAGCAGAGACATGCTGTCCCAGAGGGCGGGGAAACCAGTGCTGGGGCTCACCCCCCGGAGGGAGCAGCATTGTCCCTCTGGGCTTCAGCTGGTGATGTTTCTGAAGAAGCCCTAATCCCCCCCCCCCCCCCCCCCCCCCCCCCCCCCCCCGGCTTCCAAGTCTCTATCACCCCCAGAGGAGTACTGGGAGAACTGTGTGAGCCATCAGAATCCTCCAGATCTCACTTCCCTGGCCTGTTCTTTATCCCTGTCCACTCCTCCCTCTATCCTCAAGTGTCACCTCCTCCAGGAAGCCCTCCTCTACTCCCAGCAATTGTATGGCCTCCTCAGAGTTCCAATTTTCAGTTTGCTCTTTGGCTCCTCCAGATCAGAAACCCCGTCCACATCGTGGCAGCCCCAGGGCCCAGCCAAAACAGAGCTTACTGGCTGAGTTTGATACTTGCTTATGGGATAAATGTCCTCTGCTACCTCCTGCAGAAAGCCCTTCTTGCGGCCCATCGCAGCCAGTCTGACTGCTTGCCTTGGTATTTTCACAGCACCTTGGGCTTCTCTAGGGTCGCTTTCCTGCCTCGCTTTCCAGTGTAGCTGTGCGCATAACAGTCTGCATGCGGCAATGCTCCAAGGCAGGCATTTTCACTCCTGCCTTACAGAAGAGGAGAACTGCGGGTCAGAGAGGTTGAGTAACTGGCCTGAGCTCACTCAGCAAAAGAGTGGCAGCCAGGAGTGCCATTTGTGTCCACTGGAGCCAAAGCCCCTGCACTTTCCGGTGCCCTACTTCAGGGTCCCTGTATCTCCTATAATATCAGTACAGCGCCTGATGCCTGGTAGGGGAAGTCCCGGGAAAGATCCACAGTTGGAAGGAGGCTCAGCTCCCAGGCAGGCCCAGGTCTGAAGGGAGAATACAACTTTAGGACCTTAGCTGCCACCTTGTGCCACCACTCTTCCCAGAGGAGGGCCTCCCTCCAAGACTGGGTGGGGGAGTGTGAACAGGGGCAGCAGTGGGCAGGATGGGGGTCAGACTTTGAGGGGTAGCAAGGACCGGGGTGTCAAGGAGTGAACACATCTAGGGCTGTCAGGGAGAAGCAATCCAGGGAGACAGACTGGCATTAGGGGATTAAACTGAGCTCTGTAAAGGACGGGCAGAGATTTGGCTGATAGGGCCTAGGGACGGTATGTGCAGCTGTGCTCCCCCAGTGACCCTGCCTTGCCCCTCTGCCTCTTCTCCTGCTTGCTTGCCATCCCTCTTCCCTCTGCTTTTCCTGACTGGCTTCTCTGGGAGAGGCATCCTCTGCTCCAGTCTCACTACCAATCAGCATCATTGCCTATCATCACCCCAAGTCGAACCTCCAGATCCAGATGGGAATGTGAAGCTGGCACGAGAAAAAGAGGCCTTCCTTCCTTACTTTTGCTTTGTCTTTCCACGGCTTCGTTGCAAAGACCTAGTGGTAGAGAAGACCTAGTGGTGGAGAGAGGAGGGAGGGAGAGACGCCAGCGGGAGGTTGGAGGGGTTGGCCTGGGAGACAGAGACAGAGAGGGAGAGACTGACCCTTAGCCAGAGACAGTGAATTGAGAGGAGCCAACCCAGTTCTCCCCCCTTCAATTCAACAGGTTTGTATTCCTGCTTTTCCAGTGGATCAGATCTGTGTCCGGCTAGGTGCCCGGGAGTCAGGGGATGGCATGAGGGAGGAGACATTTCTTCCATCACAGCGAAACCACTTGGAGAAATGCTTAGCCAACACAGCAAGAGTAAGCAACTCTCTCCTCACCTTTTCTTCTCCACTTCGGAGGGGCTTTGTCCCTTCATCCATGGGTTTGGAGGTTAACTGCCCACACCCACACAGGCAAGAGCTTCCCTGAACATCAGAGTGACAGGACGTTAGGACAAAGTACAACTATTGTGCCCTAGGCCTCATCACTACTTCCTTTGTCTTGGGCCACTGCTGGCTCTTGGCTACCTTTCATGCTCTTCTCTCCACTCTCCCCTCCCCAACGCTCTCCCCTCTTCCCCCTCCTCTGGAACACCTTCCCCTTCCTCCTTGGCTCCTTCTGAACTGCTTCAGAGCTATAGGCTGAGGCTGCCCTGGTCCGGAGCCCTCTGAATGGGGCCAAGGATGCCCTTGGAGGGGACCCAGCATGACCTCTGTCTGAGCGGTTGTCTGCTCCATGCCCCGCCCTCCATGTTGCTAGGAGACCTTGGGTCCTTCCTTGCACTTGGGATTCTTTGGGGGTTCAGTTTGTTCTGACACTCCCTGCCCTGCAGCGACCTGTGGAGGGAGGATGGTGGAATTGAGTCTGGTGGAGGGGAGTAAGTGTGTGGGAGGAGACAGTGCTAAAGAGACTTGATGTGGTCTTATGATTGTTGATTAGTGGTTCTGACTTCCCTTTTTTCAAGACCTAGGTATGTTCGGCTCTCAGTTTGATGGTAATGGGGGCATTGGCCGGGGGTTGTACATCAGGATAGTGTGTTGTTGGCAAAGCTGGTGACATCACCCTGGGGGTAACATGCAGAGTCAACCCTGTTCTGAGTCACCAAACTTGTCTCTGAAATGAAGGGTGGGGGTGAGAGACTCCTCCCCACCCTAGTGAAGGTGGTCCAAAGCCCCTCACGCAAGGAAGCAATTCTGCTCCTTCATTTCCTTGGTTCTCTGGGCCAAGTGCACAGAGGGAGACTCGAATAGGTAGCTGCAACACACCTTACTTAATACTACCATGGGGGATGTTTGGCTCAGGTTGGGGAAAGCTCTCGGTGGTTGTGACCATTGACGACCACCCATCTTTGGAACTTCAGGATCTTTATCTAAGACACCCTCTTCTGGCCTCTTTCAGGGCCAGGAAAGGCAGGGTTGAGGAGGGATGCAGTGCAGGGTGGCAGAGCAAGCCCCTTCTCATGCTGCTGGGAGCCTCGGTCCAGGGCTCTCTTTGCCGCAGGGCAGGGATGAGGGAGGGGAGCTCTGCCAAAGCACCAACATCTTGTGCTCTGGCGGTGCTAGACGCGGACCAGGTTGGAAGGAGGAAGTTTAATGGCTTTCCTTCCGTATCCCATACGGCAGTTTGGAGCATGGAGCCTAGGTAAGGAGGCTGGCCCGAGAGGGGCCCTGAGCCAGCAAACAAACGTTTACTAAATGGAAAAAGACCTTGTCACTGTCGCTGGGGAGCTTGCCAGGTGATGCAGGCAGGATGGGAGGCATGAATGATGGAAAGGGTAAGATGGGGTGGGGTTGGGCAGCCCCTCTGCTCATAGGGCCCTCAGGACACCAGTCCTATGGAATTGGCTATAAAAGAGGTAACCCAGCACCCTCTGCAAACCGCAGTACCATGCGCCGAGGCAAGGGGTGAGCTGAGTAACCTCCCTGGGTCGTCTGGGTCCATTTGGGGAAAGTTGCTGCGCTCGTGGCCCAGGCACTCACAGAGGCTACATCAGCCCTGGGCCAGGCCCTGGCCAGATCTGGATGAAAAATGAGACTGGTTTGGTCCCTCTCTCCCCTCAGGTATCAGAGCCCCCTCCTTGTTCTCTGGGGGAACCTGGGAGCTGCTGGGTCAAAGCCCAACCAGGAATTTTTCTAGGCTGGTTCCTATATGCCAGGGTGGGGTAGGGGGCCTTGGGGAGCACTCAGGGAAGAGCAGGGCAGTTGGGGAGAGGGGGCTTTGAAGGGAGTGGTGGTGGGGGGTTGCTGGAGGAAAGAGGAGAGGGGTTGCCAGTCAGGAGAAGTAGGCAAGGGATCCTGTGGGGGATGGGGGTCCTGAGAAGAAACCTCAACTCTGTACATACAGAAGATGAGCTGAAAGCCTGGGCTGGGGCCGATAGAAGCCTTGGCCCCCAGCCTGGTGGGAGCTCCGGGCAGCTGGCCTACAGACGTTCCTCAGTGTTGGTAAGTAGGTTTGAATCATCACTCAGGCCCTGGCCTCCATCCGCCCCCACCAGCCCCCTGGCCTCAGTTCCCTGGCAACATCTGGGGTGGGGGGGGAGAGCAGGAACAAGGGCTTCTGTCTGCCTGGCTGCCTCTCCCTTTGGGCTCTGCCAGACTCCACAGTGCATACGTGGGCTCCAACAGGTCCTCTTCCCTCTGGGCCACTGACTAACCCCAGAACCACACGGCTTCCCATTTTCAGCCCTACAAACCTGGTGCCAAATAATTTTCCCCAAGGAAGCTTTCCTGGACACTTCCCAAAGGACCCCAGTCACCCCAGTCCATTGGCTGTAGCTCACTCTGATGTCAGCAGGCCAGATGAGGTCTCCAGATGGGCACACTGTCCGCACGGGTACATCACGCCTCCTGCACCCAGCATCGGGCTCTCTGCACTTGTGTCCATTGAGTCCCTAACATGCCACTGTTTGGGGGGTCAGGAGTTCCCGCGACGAGGGGGTAGCCTCCCTCTACCCTCCTCCCCAAGCCCATTCCCTCTTGAGCCAGAGCTGGGGTGTGCAGGCAGCAGTCACTAGGGGGCGCTCGGCCACCACAAGGTTGCTGGGTGAACTTGGGAGAGCCGCGTCTGCGTGAGAGTGAGGACGCGTGTGTCAGTGTGAGTGTGTGTGTGTGGGGGGGCGGGCTGAGAGTGCTGGAGTGGGGAGAAGGCCAGGGGTCACGCCAGGATTCCAATAGGTCTGTGCGTCCTTCCTCCCAGCCGTCCCCGTCCGACTCCTTGCCCGCCCCGGCCCCCCGCCCCTCCAATGTTCCCAGTAAGGAAGGAATAGCTCGGGAGCCCTGTCCGCACATAACCTCACTTTCCTGTTCCCTTCCCCCCAAGACCGCGCGGGCGTGTATATGTCTGGGCGGGGGGGGGGGCGGATGGGCAATTTTCAGGCTGTGAACCGGGGAGGGGGTCGAGGTCCCCTTCGCTCGGGAGGGAGGGCAGGCTTCGCGACACGTCCCCGGGGAAGGCCCGAGGGGCGCGCGGGGCAGTTGGAGGAGAGGCTGCGGCCCGGGCCTGTCCCCGCCCCCAGGGCGTGCCAAGGGCGGGTCCGGGCGGGGCCTGCCTTGGTTTTAAGCGGCCGCTAGTGGTAGGAGCGCAGAGGCTTGGGGCAGCCGGGCTGCGAGGAGGCCGCGGCGCGGGGGGCGAGTGGAGCCGGCGGCAGCGGCGCTGGGTCGGGAGGCGCAGCGGCTAGGCGGACGAGCCGGCGGGGTCACCGGCCAGGGGTCTCCGCACTGGAATCTGAATTCATTTATCCAGGGTTTACCCTCCTCCTTTTTTTCTTAAGCAATTTTAAGATCCACATTCTTTCCCGTTTTAATTTATTTTTTGCTTCCCATTCCCCGCTTAAATCGGGCCGACCGTTTGGGGGAGATTGCTCCTTTACTTCCCCAAACCACTTCGGATTTTGGAAACCAGCAGAGAGAAGAAAGAGGTAGCAAGAGCTCCAGAGAGAAGTCGAGGAAGAGAGAGAGAGAGAGAGAGAGAGAGAGAGAGAGAGAGAGAGGAGAGAGAGACGGGGTCAGAGAGCGCGCGCGGGCGAGCGAGCAACGACAGGACAGGGGCAAAGTGAGTGACCTGCTTTTGGGGGTGACCGCCAGAGCGCGGCGTGAGCCCTCCCCCTCGGGATCCCGCACCGGACCAGCCGCGCTGACGGACAGACCGACAGACACCGCCCCCCGCCCCAGCGCCCACCTCCTCCCCGGCCGGCGGCCGAGGGTGGACGCGGCGGCGAGCCGCGGGCAGGAGCCGGAGCCCGAGCCCGCGCCTGGAGGCGGGGTGGAGGGGGTCGGGGCTCGCGGCGTTGCAGTGAAACTTTTCGTCCAACTTCTGGGCTGTTCTCGCTCCGGAGGAGCCGTGGTCCGCGCCGGGGCGGCAGAGCCGAGCGGAACCGGGAGAAGTGCGAGCCCGGGCCGGGAGGAGCCGCAGTCGGAGGAGGGGGAGGAGGAAGAAGAGAAGGAAGAGGAGAGGGGGCCGCGGTGGCGACTCGGCGCTCGGAAGCCGGGCTCATGGACGGGTGAGGCGGCTGTGTGCGCAGACAGTGCTCCAGCCGCGCGCGCGCCCCAGGCCCTGGCCCGGGCCTCGGCTCCGGGAGGAAGAGGAGCCCGCCTAGGCGCCGCGGAGAGCGGGCCGCCCCGCAGCCCGAGCGGGAGAGGGAGCGCGAGCCGCGCCGGCTCCGGCCGGGCCTCCGAAACCATGAACTTTCTGCTCTCCTGGGTGCATTGGAGCCTTGCCTTGCTGCTCTACCTCCACCATGCCAAGGTAAGCGGCCGTGCCCACCAGGCGTCGCGGGCCGCTGCGAGCGCCTCTCCCGGCTGGGGACGTGCGTGCGAGCGAGCGCGCGCGTGGGGGCTCCGAACCCCACGCGGGTCCTTGCGCTCCGGGCGCGCGGCTGCCCCCTAGATCCTCGTTCGCGTGGGGGGAGGGGGCGCGCGCTAGGTGGGAGGGCACCGGGGAGAATCTCACCGCCCACGCGGGCCCTGCCCACCCACTAGAGTCACCGCACGTACGATCTGGGCCGACCGGCGGAGGGCGGGAGCCGGAGGAGGAGGCCGAGGGGGCTGGGCTTGCGCTGCCGCGGGCGGCCGAAGTTTGCTCCTGGCCGCTGGTCCCCGACGAACTGGAAGCCCGGGCAGCGGGGGCGGGAGCCGGAGCCCAGTGGGCAGGGGGGTGCCCGGACCTTGGACCAAGGGAGGGCAGAGAGCGTGGAGGGGGCAGGGCGCGGGCCAGAGAGGGGGTTGCTGTCACTGCCGCTCGCCCTCTTAGGCCCTCGCCACGAGTTTGAGAAAAGTTTCGGGGTGGATCGCCGAGGGGACCCCCGGTCTCCGCCGGGCCACCTGCGCGGAGGCACCCCCGCCCGTCCCCGCTAGCGTCCCGCTCGGTGCCCGCCCTCCCCCGCCCGGCCGGGCGCGCGCGGCGCGGAGCCGATTACATCAGCCCGGGCCTGGCCGGCCGCGTGTTCCCGGAGCCTCGGCGGCCCCGAGCCGGGAGCCCCCGGGCGGCGAGCGGCGCCCCTCCCCCCGCGGGCCCTCCGCGGGAAGGTGACCTCCCGAGGTATCCCTAGCCGGAGGTCTCGGAGAAGCACCCCGCACCCCTCCCCGCCGTCCCCAGCCGCTAGCCCCTTCCTGGGCGAGGGCGGATTTCTTGACGCCCCTTCCCCACTTCCTCCCTACCGCGGAGAGAAGCCCCTGCCACCCTTCTGTTTTTCTTCCCTCCCCTCTGCCGAGAAGAGCCGTGTAGCCCCTCTCCGACCCCAGAGGCCGGGGCAAGGATGATCGCTGTCAGGGGTCAGGGTGCAGGGGCCCACTCCGGGGCTTTGTCAGACTGCCTAAAGTCCCGACTTGGTGACAGTCTGCTGTGCTCCCCTCCCCCACACTTCCGAGCCCTGCTTTAGCCTTTATGGGGGGTGGGCTAAGGGAGGATTCAAGAGCCTCCTCAGTCCACTTTACACTTTTTGGAAAAATGGCTTAAAATTTGCCGTGGCATGGGCATTGTGGGACTAGCTTCCTCCCCCCCTACCCCCACTTTAGGAAGGAGCTCCTGCCAGCCTTGCAAACACTTTGTCCTGGTGAAATGGGGTGTTGGAGCGGGAGCAGGTGGTTTTCTGGAACTCCAAAACTTGCCCACCCAACTTGCTTTTCAGAGCCACTAAGGGGTCCTTCATGCTCTTCCCTTATGCCTTCCCTCAGCCACGGAGTCCCCCCTTGAAGAGAGGTAGAAGGGAAATGGGCCGGGGTCCCTGCTGCCACTCTGAGTGCCTCAGACCCTGGCACAAAGGCCTTGGCTCCCGGCCTCCAAGGGGAGGGGGGGAGGGGGGGAGGGAGGAGTGGCCGCCTGGCCACAGTGTGACCTTCAGAGGCCCCCAGAGAAGGGCACCTGGCCCCTCCCTGCCCTGAACAGCCTCTCCCAGTGCCCCCTGGCCTTGGAGGGGTTTATATTTCTGTCCCCTTTCCTCGTTGGGGCCCAGGAGGAGTGGAGGGCATAGGGAGAATTTTGGCATTAGGCAGCCAAGGGGTATCCTGGAGATGGGCCAGGGCCTAAGGTGGAGACCCCCCGGGGGTCCCCGAGGGAGCCACAGTGGGAGGCTGCCCAGCTGGGATCCTGGAAACTGTTATCTGACCTTGGCCCTAAGGGGCAAGGCTGGGGGATCCGGCATCCGGTATTGGGGGTGTGTGGGAAGGAGACAGACAGACTTTGGGGCCGGTGTACAGTTCTGCTGCGCAGGATCTGCCCCCAATGAGGGGCAGGTGGGGTGGGCAGCTGGTAAGAACCGAAGGCCCTCTGGAAGGCCTGGGAGAAGCTGTTGCCTGCTAGGAGCTGTCAGGTCCACATGGTTGGGCATGTTGACCTTCACAGCTTCTGGGGAGGGGAGAAATGATCTGGTGGGGGTGGGGAGGGATAGGAGGGAGAGGGGAGGCCTCAGGCCTGGGTAGTGCAGGGGGCCCCCTAGGGGCTAGGCAGTGCTAAGGCATAAAGGCTTTCCTGGTTGAATTTGCGGAAAGTGCCCAGCTCCCTGAGAGGGGCTTGGGATCCCCGCAGTCTGGGCAGGTGAAGAAACTAGGGAACAGGGAAGGAGCTCAGTGAGGCTCAGGGCTTTGGAGATACATTCGGGCTCCTGGGAGGTCTGCGTGCTGGGAGACAAGGGGTTCTCGCCTCCCAGAGGGTTTTCTCCCTGGTTTTACCTTCTAGGCAACCTGTGGGGTTTGCTGAATATACCTGAGGATATTTGCTGAGTATTCCGGAGGCCAGAGGAGTTTGGGTGGGGGAGGGTGGTTGGTGTCCTTCGGTCCTCCGCACCCCCCTCGTTCCCTAGCACCAGCTCACCCTGGTATTTGTCATGTCAGCAGGAGAAGGTCACCATGTTGTTCTTCTCGCCCCCTGTCCTTCCTTCCTGCCCCAGTCCAAATCTGTCCTCCTATGTGACCTTACTACTTACCCGTGGCTTTGGACCAGGGAGTCAGGGGAGCTGAGAAAATTCACTTAACTCAGCAATGGGCTGGTGGGGGGTGGGGAGGAAACTGTGGGGAAGGGGTGGGCACCTGGACAGCACAGCCTTCTAGTATTTTCTTCCTGTGCTTTCGGTTCTCCAACCCCCAACATCTGGTCATTCTTTCTCTTCCTTCACAACTGGAGCAGCACAGGGGTGGTGGGCATGCTCTCTGCTGTGGGGAGCTGGGCAGGTGCCTTGTTCCACTCAGAAGTCTTGGAGAAGCCACAGGCTGCTGGTCAGTGGGTGGCCGGGCCTCTGCACCCCTGCTCATGCCCATACCTTGCTCTTTGTTTTGTCCTCAGTGGTCCCAGGCTGCACCTATGGCAGGAGGAGAGCACAAACCCCACGAAGGTGAGTCCCTGTAGCTCTGGGATAGGTACCCTGTCTCCCCAGGGCATGGGTGGGGAGGCCTGATTCCTTTCTTTCAGGTCTGTGGGGGTAGGGGGTGGGGGAGGAAGGGTACCGGAATGGAAATCAAGAATGGAAGAGGGGAGCACCATGAGAGTAACCCTTCATTCTGGAGGACTCTCTTTCCTACTCAGGCCTCTGCTAGAATTAAAACTTGTTGCCTTTTCCTTCTGCTCTTTCCAGTAAAATTTTAGTTGGACAGGGAGCCATGAGCACAGACCAGGAAGACAGTGTTCAAGATCCCAGGTGTCGAGGGCGGTGTCTCTTGTCCCATCTGCCCCCAGGGGAGGATGGATATTCTGTGTCACATCCAGCCCAGCTCTGTCGTACCTGTGGGGTCTGTGTGGAGGGGGCCGTGACCCTTGCCTGTTCAGCACACTGGCTGTACATGAGCTGGAGGTGCAGAGGGCCCAACCTCCTGAGACCCCTCCCTCCCCACAGTATGTACTCCTTTAGGAGGTAGGAGAGAAGGCCCTGCAGGCTCCCTCTGCCCTCTGGGTGGGATAGGTTTGGGTGCTATGAACTTCCCTTCTGGACCAGCAAAGCTGTAGCTCCCAGGTGCCCTGCCCCCTGCCCAACTAAGAGTCCACCTGCCTTTTGTTCCTCTGTGGTTTGCAGTAGGGATCCTCCCATTTCTCTAGGGAAGGAAGCCCTGGCTCCCCACCCACCCACCCAAATGAATTTGACCTCTGCTCCAAAGTAGGGGAGGAGTGCCCAATGCCACTCCCCTAGCTCCCCACCTTTGAGGAGGCAAGGGCCTGGTCTTCCCTCCAGGCCAGTTTTCCAGACCCAAACCCAGTGTGGCCCAGGGTAGTGACCAAGGGCAGTGTTTACACTCCTGGGCCAGTGGTGATGCCCAGCTGGTTCTGCTTCCCTACGCCCTAGAGCCCTTTCCTTGGCCCCGGGGCCTGGCTTCCCAGCCGCTCCACAGCCTGTACCACCCATAGGCTCCTGGATCCCAGGATATGATCAGCCCTCATCAGCCTCCTGGTGGTCTCTGTGGTCTGGGAGAGGCAAGACAAATGTTTTTTTTGTTTGCTGGGGAAGGATTGTCTTCAAGAAATAAGGAAAAGCAAAAAAACTTGCTGTGGTAGATGCATGTCCATGGCCTGAGCAAAAGCAGGCCAGCTTTCCTTGGAGGCAGTGGCTGGGGTACAAAGGGTATAGGGGAAGTTGTCCCCTCACCTTCCTTCCTATGGCCTTGGGAATTGCAGGCAGCTTTTCAAGGGAATTCCTAGTCTGTGTCTTTTTACCCTTAGCTACCAACTGCCACGGCCCAGGCCCATACCTCTCTGCTTTCCTGTCCTGGGCTGGGCCTTGTGCCTCCGAAGCCTAGGTCACCTCTGTCCCCAGCCATGACAAAATGTCAGGTCAAGAATTCTTGATTAGTCATCTTTGATATAGACTTGGCTTGAAAAAGGGCTTCTTCATCATTTGTACTCTTTTTGACAGAGCTTTACCGTAACCCTTTTGAGGGTGGAGGAGAATTCTGTGCCTGTTGTCTGCATAGGGGACGTAGACCTCAGGCAAGGCCAGGGACTGGCTTGGGAGCTGCCCCCTGCTCTCCTTGCTGTTTTCACACCTATGGCCTTCCCCTCCCTTGCCCTCAGCTCCCCAAATTCTCCTCAACCCACCAATTGTATACATGCCCACTCCCCCCAGGATCGTCTTCCTTCACCCTCTGGAGGGAGGAGGAGACTCAGCTATAGTTTCTGGGGAGAGGTAGGCTAGGGGGTTGCACTTCAGATGCCTTGGTGAGGTTCCAAACTTTGTGTTGCCTGGGCTGAGAAAGAGCGCTTATTCTCGGGGGGCCGGAAACAGAGACAAAACCCCAAATTTCGGTCTCAGTTTCTGTAGCGATCTTTAGAGATCCACCCAACCCACTACTACAGATGTGCAGTGTGAGGCTAGAGAGGGAGGGACTGGCCCAAGGTCACACCAAGTCATGGCCAGGTTCTGGACCTCTTCATGGGCTGGATGCTGCCTCTTTCTGCTGTGTGGAGGAAAAGCATTTCAGGGAGAGGATTACTATGTGGTAGTGGTTGTGTGTGTGTGTGTGTGTGTGTGTGTGTGTGTGTGTGTGTGTGTGTGTTCATGCGCACACGTGCTTGTGTGCACCCTGGAGTGGGACAGGCTGGGCCATAATTTAGAGTCATCACCCCAGGTCCTGAGTGTCTCTTCCCAGGAGCCCCGCCTCTGTGGCCTAGAATTACCCCTTCATGCTCCAGTGCACCCCGGGCTCCACGGCCAGCCTGGGAAGCTGTCTTTACCCTGCCCTCCCTCCAGATCAGCTTCTAGAAATGCTCCGTGGCTGCAGTGGCAGCACCGTTTTTTCCATGATGCAAGCAGTTTGCCCTCTTGGGCGGGGTTATCGGTGGCTGGCAGGGCCTGCATAGTGTGCCCACCCACTGCCACCTGCTGATGCCAGGCAGGCCCAGCCCCTGTGCTGGTGTTCACTGTCTCCCCAGCCCGTGTCTGGGGAGGGGTCTGGCAGGTGGCGAAGTGTCCCCCCCACCCCCACCATGCTTCCACATGATTTGCCTTGGGAAGACTTTGATGTCAGGACCGATTTTAACTGTACCACTTAGTGGAAGTGCAGCCTTGGGGCAAATTCCTCAGCCTCTCTGAACCTCCAGTTCCCCCTTTGTAAAATGAGGTTCCTACTGGAATGTCATAGTGTCATGTGGGGAGAACTGTTGGCGACGAAAACTGGACTCCTGTACACAATGCCCAGCAGATACTAAGTCCTCATTAAATGGTTGTTGGTATAGTGGATGGTATGGCAGAGGTTGTAGGGAAACCGGGAGTAGGTTTACCAAGCGGGCTCTTCTACCTTTCATGGGAAACTCAGACCACCCCCCAGCAAGGGTACTGATACCTGAATTGTCCTCTGGCCTCAAGGTTGACCTGGGAGTTGGCTCAGCTGTCATGACAATGCAGGGGGATCAGATGTGACTGACCATCTCCCCCAGAACCTGACAGCCTCATGTGATCTTTGGAATAAAACCAGACCTTCATCAGTGCCAGTAGTGGAAAGCTTAGGGAAGGCTGTCAACCACAGCTGGACGGACTTGAGCTAGAGTTTTGGAAGGACTGACTGGCCCAGTAGTGGGTACCTCTCCCAGGGAACCCTGAGTGGTTGCCCTACAAAGCTGGGTGGAGAGAGGGGCTGGCCATCTCTCACGTGACCTGCTGGCCTCATGTCTCACCCCATCCCATGCAGTGGTGAAGTTCATGGACGTCTACCAGCGCAGCTACTGCCGTCCCATTGAGACCCTGGTGGACATCTTCCAGGAGTACCCCGACGAGATCGAGTACATCTTCAAGCCATCCTGCGTGCCCCTGATGCGGTGTGGGGGCTGCTGTAATGATGAGGGCCTAGAGTGTGTGCCCACTGAGGAGTTCAACATCACCATGCAGGTGGGCATCTGTGGGGAGAGGGGGTGGGAGCGGGCTGAGATGTGGGGAAACAGGTGGTCCCCAGCCCTTTCCTGGGCAACTCTTCAGAGAAGGAACCAGGCTTGCCTTTGCTCAGCTCCTGTCCCTGAGTCAGTCAGGGGGAGGCATGAGGAGTCTTGCCCTCTTGGGAGAAAAAGATGCCTGCATTTCCTGATCTGGGGTTCCCCACAAGTCCCTACTGCCACAGTCCCCTCTGTGACCTTTCCCCCTGGGCTCAGAAGGAGCTGACACCTGTGACAGGAGTCCTTCTCTTCTTCTCTTGGAAGAGGAGGGCCCTTACTCTTAGGGGCTCTGTTTGGGGTGCCAGATGAGCCTGGTACATGGAAAGTTTTAAAAGCCAGTCATTTGGTGCTGCCCAGTGACGGGACCCATCTCAGCCTGGATAGGGTGGGAGGGAGCTCTGACACCCCAGGGAAGATGGCTCTTGGGTAGCTGCTAGGGGTCAGGGGAAGGCCTAAAGGGGATAAAAGGAGGGGAGGGATGGGGACTGGCAAGAACCCAGGACCTGAATTCCCAGCCTGGCCAACCCGTGCAGAAGAGCAGGGGCTCCTTGAGGTCAGCAGGGTTGGGAGTTGGGGTGGACCTGAGGCTCTTTCTGGGAGAGCCCCTGGTCCCTTCTGCTTCTACCACCCTCCTCTGCTCAGTAGAACCCCTGGGTGCTGAGTGGCAAGAGCCACAGGGTGTCCCATCTGGGTATGGCTGGCTGGGTCACTAACCTCTGTGATCTGCTTCCTTTCCCTCTAGATTATGCGGATCAAACCTCATCAAGGCCAGCACATAGGGGAGATGAGTTTCCTGCAGCATAGCAAATGTGAATGCAGGTGAGGATGGTGTCACAGATTCATTGGTTCAGCAGAGCGGCGGGAGGGTTAAACATGCCCCACTTGTTAGCCATTTCTGCCTTCCGTCTGTCTTCCAGCTGACTTTGGGCATTTTAATTTTACTGCACCGTGCCTCAGTTTCTACATCTGTCATATGGGCACAATAGTAGTACATATCTCATAGCACTGCTGGAGGGATTAAATGATTTATGTTACATTAAGGGGATTGATACTGCATTGATAAGTCATAAATAGTATGGTGCTACTCCTGTTAGCATTGCCATCTGAACATCTTTCTGTTTTGTTCTTTTTCTCTACCTGCTGCAGACCAAAGAAAGATAGAGCAAGGCAAGAAAAGTAAGTGGCCATGACTTTAGCTCCTCTCCCTCTCCTTGGCCAGTTATCTTGGTTTGGGGCTCTTGGCTTCTTCTGTCAGGGGATCTGATGGCTTCATTGGGTGGGGGAATTGGCCTCATGAAGAACTGGTGGTGGTAGTAGTGGGATGGAGCAAACTCAAGGATTATGGCTCTTGAATTAGGGGCAAAACCCAGCCTGGAGCCCGGAGCTTCCTTTGGAAGAGACGATGCATTCCAGGTCTCCAGGTCATTCCTGTCCAGGATTTGCAGTTTTAGTGTGCCAGAGGGGGTGGGGGGCAGGTGGCTCCCTGGCTTGGTCTAGTCTCCCGTCACCCACAGCAGGGAGAGGGTGAGGGTGGCAGAGAGGCCAGCTTTTGCGTGTCAGAGGAAACGGCCTCTTGTGGTGGTTGCTGTGGTGGTGCAAATTGGACTCGGGACTGGCTGAGGTGTTTTCTTGATGATACCCTCCTGCAGGGGTGAGGCAGGCCCAAGCCACTCAGCCCTCCTGGCCAGGGAGGAAGGAGTTGACTGTTGGTCCATTTCTGAGGCTTCTAGTTGCTTAGTGTGGCCAGTTGGGTCAGAATGGAGCAGGGGGTGCCGTCTGGGGGCAGTGAGCCTTCAGGACCTGGTGAGCAGCTGGCCGGGGTAGGGGTGTGTGGGGGACAAGCCTGCAGGGAAAGAGAATGAGAGAGAGCACCTGTGTCCTTTCCTCCCCCTCACCATCCTGTCTGTTCCCAGACCTCTGGGGGACAGAGAAGCCCTAACCCCTTGCCTCTTCCCTAAGTCCCCAGCTTCCAAGATTGCTATGGCTCCCAGAGAAGTGATTTGGGACAGTAGGCTCAGAGAGAGAGAGAGAGAGAGAGAGAGAGAGAGAGAGAGAGAGCGCGAGCGCACACCCGCACAGGCACAGACCTTTCTCCCTCCAGTGCTTTCTCCTAGAGAGAGAGCAGACTTGCCCCTCTCACTCCCTCCCCTCTTATTTCTTCCCCTGTGGCACACATTCTGGGCATCCTCTGGCCTGGCAGGTGTGGAGAGTGCTGGTTCCCTGGAGGAGAACAGGCTTCAGCCTGCCCCCCCTTGCCTGTTTCCCAAATGCCTGCTTTGCCCACAGGGAGAGTGGGGGGCTCGCCTGGGCTCGGAAGAGAGTCTGGTGAGATGGTGTAGCAGGCTTTGACAGGCTGGGGAGGGAACTCCCTGCCAAGTGACGCCCAGGCCCCTCCTCCCGTGCCTCCCTAACTCCCACCCCACCCTACCGCCTGCCTGGGGCTCTGAGGACACCCATCTCCACCTCTCAGCCCAGGTTATGGCCAGGCAGGCTGACGCCTTTCATGTGCCGCCCCTGGTTCTGTGCCAGCTCCCAGTGTAGCTGCTCTCCCACCCCGGGATTGGCAGAGGCAGGAGCCCAGAAGGGACCCCTTTGCTACTATACTTGGAAATGAAGGTGGAAGGTGCCCGAAGCACAGCCTGGACGCCCTCCCGCCCCCTGCCCCGCTCTCACCCCCATTTAGTCAGGTCTCTCCAAACTCTGGCCTGCCTTTTACAGCCCCCGGCCTTCAGGGTCAGACTTTTACAGGGTTGCTGGCCAAAGAGCCTGCCGACAGGGCTTTACCCCCTGCCTGGGCCCGGGAGCTGCTGCAAGCACCCTGAGCAGGCCTTTGGGTCCTGTGTCCCCCACTCACCCTCTGCTCCCCAGCCAAAGCATTGTCAGTGGCTGGGTGGGCTACCCCAGGGTGGCCGAAGGGAGAAGAGGGAGCCGTTGAGCGCCTGCTGCCCCGGCCTGCGCATTTTCCTTGAGTCCGCCAGCCTCCTGATGCCTCGTTGCAGGGAGTGTGCCCTGAACCCTATCCTCCTCACTGCTTCTTGTCCTTTCCCCTTCCCCCTTGCTCTCTCTTTGTCTGTCTCTGTTTTTTTATTTTCCAGAAAATCAATTCGAGGAAAGGGGAAGGGGCAAAAAAGAAAGCGCAAGAAATCCCGGTATAAACCCTGGAGCGTGTACGTGGTGCCTCCGCTGTTTCATTGCCTGGAGCCTCCCTGGCCCCCAGTCAGACTCCCACCGGCGGGACCCCCTAACCCTCCCCCCCCGCCCCCCCAGCTCTTCTGGCTCTCCCCACCGCCCCAGTGTCTCTCTCTCACTCTCACTCCACTAATTGGCACCAGTGGCTAGATTTGGTGATGGCGTGGCTGGTCCAGGGTCGGGTGGGGTGGGTGGACAGAGTGGACCTGGAGGATTCGGGGTGGGGACTCTGGCTTGGCTGGGCACCGCCTTTCTCTCACCTACTGGGCACTGGTGGCGGGCCCATTTGGCACGGGTGCCGGGCACTGGTGCCTGCTCGCCCGACTGGTTTCCACTGCTCTGGGCTTTTGCACTTGTCTGGAAGCAGAGGGTGGTGGGGAGGGCAGACGTGGCGTGAGGAAAGGGTGCGAAGGATGCGAGGCAGTGTGTTGTCAGCGGAAGGAGGAGAGATTGGGTGGGGTCAGGCACTGTATGGCAGTCCCTCCTCGTGGCCCTGGGGCCTCTGGAGGGGAGCCTGCAACTCTGGTTCAATCCCCGGCCCCCACATAAACCTCCCCTGAGGTCTGGAGGCTCTTCCTCTGGGTTGGAGGCTGTGCTGGGCGTTCTGGTCACCAGTGGCCTAGCTGTGGACACCACCTTTGGGCTTGGCTGACTGTGATGCCCTACTTCAGTCTGTCCCTGGTGGTGGGGCCTGGGCGCGAGCCCTTGCCCATGGGGAAGGTGGCCCTGATTGCCATCCCAGCAGGTGAAGGAGAGTCTGGGTGTGCTCTCTCTGGGGTGATAGCTGTTGGGGCCCTGTGGCCCAAGACTTGTTCTTGTTCCCACGGGACAGCTCTCCCCCTTCCAGTGGTCCTCTCCTTGCACTCTGCCCCTGTGTCTGCCTCTTCCTGCAGGCAGGCTTCCTAGCCAGTGCTGCCTTTTCCTGCCGCGCGCTCTGTCTTCCGCTGCAGCACTTGGATCCTTCCAGGGCATGGAAGGGTAGGGGGAGCAGCCAATGAGCTGGGGGGGTGCAGCTGCGGACTGTTAGGGGGTGTTGCATGTTTTTTTTTTTTTTTTTCTCTCTCTCTGCTGACGCTCTAGCTTAGATGTCTTTCCTTTTGCCTTTTTGCAGTCCCTGTGGGCCTTGCTCAGAGCGGAGAAAGCATTTGTTTGTACAAGATCCGCAGACGTGTAAATGTTCCTGCAAAAACACAGACTCGCGTTGCAAGGCGAGGCAGCTTGAGTTAAACGAACGTACTTGCAGGTTGGTTCCCAGAGGGCAAGTGAGTCAGAGAGGGGCTTCACACAGAGATGGGGAGAGAGAGAGAGAAAAAGAGAGAGAGAGAACGAGCTCTTGTGCACGCGCATCCGAGAGGGGCCAGCTGCTTGCTCGGCTTCTAGCTACCTGCCTGGTGATTGATGGCTGCCTTCTCTGCTCGCGAGGCCCCTGCGGTGGGCGGCAGGCGCTGGCCTGGCCTGGCGGTGCCTGTTCAGAGGTTTCCCTGGTTGCCTGAGGGGGTAGACTGGTGTGGCTTCATGTGATGGTGTGGACGCAGGCTGAGTGTTGTGTCCTGTGGTCCCGCGGTGTCCTGTGGTGGCTGTTGGTCCTGACGTTGTTATTACTACCTTGCTACTAATATCGAGGGCCCTTCTCAGTGTGGGGGGTGCTGCCATCTATAAAGCTTGAACACCCTTGGGGGCCTGGCCACCACTCTCTGACGTCTGCACCGCTTGGGATTCTCTTCCCCTCAGGGTCTCTCATGGGGGCAGGGGGTGTGTCCCTCTTAGGCTGGGGTCCCCCAGGGCCTGGGCTCCTGCTGTTGGTTTAGGGCGAGTAGGAGATTTAACATTTGGGGACACTAGATACTTTTAATACTCCAGTACCCATGGTGACAACCCCAGATGGCTCACATAATTCCAGATGCCTCCAGGATGGACGGGTTGGGGGACATGCCCTCTTTCCTGACATTAGATTGTGAACTCCTCCAGCAGAGCCTGGCTTTTATTCACCCGTGTGACCCTCCAGGCATCTGTACCTCTGTCCTTTGACCACAGCGAGGCCTCAGAAAGTGTCGAGTATGTAAGTGAATACATGACTGAGGTCAGGGGATGAGGTCAGGAGCACAGAGCCGTGACAGGTTGGCTGGCAATCTTTTGATGCCTTGAATGGTGTTTATACCCGCCTGGCCTTTGCTCAAAGACTGGAAGCCCTCTGGGCCAGCCTGTTTCAGCCAGGGAGGGGGGCTTATATGGGGATTCCCAGGCAGGATCAGGGTGCCCCCAGCTAGTCCGGATGCTCCATTAACAAAGTCCTTGGAATGTGGCTGCCTTCCCCACCCCCACGATCCTGTGCCTCTTGATGTTCAAGGGATACTGGGGACCAGGCCCTGGGGTGTTGGCGTGGGCTTCTGTCTGTCTTGGTGGTACGTGCAGATAGGAAGTGTATGTGAATGCTGGGCTTGGGCTCTGCCTAACACTAGGGCCCAGTGAGGGGTCTCCACGTGTCCTGGGGGCTTCGGGGAAGGTCAAGGATTTATCATTCTGGGATTTATGTGGTGATTATTTTGCAGAGAGACTGGGACGGGGTGTGTGAAGTGATCTTGGGGCTTCTAGAAGTTACCCCAACCTCAAGAAACCGCCCCCCGTATGGAGGAGTTTCAATACCCCAAATTGGGGGCTTAGGATCCCCATTCCCAGGCTCTCAGAAGGGCAGGGCCTGCTCTGACCTCTCACAGTAGAGAAGGTAAAAGGCCATCAGTCCCAGGGGCTGGGGCATGACAAGACAGTTATTGGAGTCCCCTCTGCTCCAAGAGGAGCAGCACAGTGAGTGATCGCCTCTCCCCACCGCAAATGACACAGCACATGTAAGAGGCAGCCTGGTACCCGGGGCCAGCCTCTGCCAGCCTGTTGGAGAAAGACGAGGCCCTAGCCAGGGCCTGGAGGGAGGGCATGGTGACGGGAGACGTGTCCTTCAGCGCCTTGCTGCCTTCCACTCCCTGCCCCGGGAGCAGCCCCTCCCTTTCAGCCGGCCGGAGCCCTGGGTCAGGGTGCTTTCCCCACTCTCTTCCCCATGCCTGTCCCACAGGCAGAGCTGAAGCATGCCTTTCTGCAGGGGCTCTTGCCTAACTAACTCGGCTCAACTCTGGTCACCATCAGCTCTTAAGTGTCAAGTTCTTTAGTACGTGTTCATTTGTCGCCTATGATGACATGTCCCCACGTCCTCATCTTGTCTCAACTAGACTGTAAGCTCTAAATGGCAGTGGGAACCCTGAATGCAGCTCCTGCTCTGGCGCCTTAATCAACCCCCCATCCCTGCTGCCACCCATGGGCAGGGGCCGGCTGTCCCCTCACATTGGGCTTCTTGAGGCAGGGCCATGCTTTTGCTGTCATCTCTGCAGCAGGGATTCACAGCAGGGACTCGGGCCCCCAAGATGGGGAGGCTACCTGCCTCACCACTGTGTCCCCGTGCCTGGACCTAACCCCTGGCCTCTGATTCCCACAGATGTGACAAGCCCAGGCGGTGAGCCGGGCTGGAAGAAGGAGCCTCCCTCAGGGTTTCGGGAACCAGACCTCTCACCAGGAAAGCCTGATTCAGAATGACCGCTACAGAAACCACGCCGCCGCCACCACCACCACACCACCATCACCAGAACAATCCTTAATCCAGAAACCTGAAATGAAGGAAGAGGAGACTCTGCGCAGAGCACTTTGGGTCCGGAGGGCGCAACTCCGGCAGAAGCATTCCCGGGCAGGTGACCAAGCACGGTCCCTCTTGGAATTGGATCGCCATTGTATTTTTCTTGCTGCTAAATCACCGAGCCCGGAAGATTAGAGAGTTTTATTTCTGGGATTCCTGTAGACACACCCACCCACATACATACTTTTATATATATATATAAAATATATATATAAAAATAAATATATATATTTTATATATACGTAAAATATATATATTCTTTTTTTTTAAATTAACATTGCTAATGTTATTGGTGTCTTCACTGGATATATTTGACTGCTGTGGACTTAAGTTGGGAGGAGGCTGTCCCCACCCAGATCCCAACAGGGAAGAGGATGGGAGGGGAGACTCTGGCATTATCTTTTGGTCCCTCGTAGGAAGGCCAGGGTCCCCTTTCCTTCCCAGGAACGTGCTTGGCCAGGGCACGGGGGCAAATTTGGCCTGCTTTTGGGGACACTGACAAACCCAGCCCTGGCCCCAAGCCTCTACCCCGAGTCAAATGGACAGACGACAGGTACAGGGACGAGGACACTGGCTCTGACTAGGAGTTCGGGGAGCCTCAGGACACTGCTGTACTTTGAGGATCCTCTCCACATGCTGCACGGGCATCTTGCCCCCAGGGGCACTGCCTGGAAGATTCAGGAGACTGGGCAGCCTTCACCTACTCTTCACTTGCTCCTGACAAGCCCAGGGTGCCGTCAACAGAGGTCTTGGCGAAAAGAAGAGAGACATTGGTGGAGGAAGGGCCGCCTGGTGGCAGCTTGTCCTCCGAGGGAAGGGCCCCCTGCCTTGGCCATCTCCCAGCTCTACTTCCCTGGTGCAGCCCAAGAGGGCCTGACGTCCTCAGACCATTGAAACCACTAGTTCTGTCCCCCCAGGAGACCTGGCTGCGTGTGTGTGAGTGGTTCACCCTCCTCTGTCCCCAGACCCGACCCTTCCCGCGGCACAGAGAGACAGGGCAGGATCCACGTGCCCACCATGGAGGCAGAGAAAGTGTTTTATATACGATAATTATTTAATATCCCTTTTTAATTAGAAATTAAAACAGTTAATTTAATTAAAGAGTAGGGTTTTTTTCAGTATTCTTGGTTAATATTTAATTTCAACTATTTATGAGATGTATCTCTCTATTGCTCTCTCTTGCGCTCTTATATGTACCGGTCTTTGTGTTTAAGATTCATGTTTCCAATCTCTCTCTCCCTGATCGGTGACAGTCACTAGCTTGTCCTGAGCAGATATTTAATTTTGCTAACACTCAGCTCTGCCCTCCCCTTGCCCCCGGCTCCCCACCACACATTCCTTTGAAATAAGGTTTCAATATACATCTACAGACTATATATATATTTGGCAACTTGCGTTTGTGTGTATATATATATATATATATATATATATATGTTTATGTATATATGTGATTCTGATAAAATAGACATTGCTATTCTGTTTTTTATATGTAAAAACAAAACAAGAAAAAATAGAGAATTCTACATACTAAATCTCTCTCCTTTTTTAATTTTAATATTTGTTATCATTTATTTATTGGTGCTACTGTTTATCCGTAATAATTGTGGGGGAAAAAGATATTAACATCACATCTTTGTCTCTAGTACAGTTTTTCGAGATATTCCGTAGTACATATTTATTTTTAAACAACAACAAAGAAATACAGATATATCTTAAAAAAAAAAAAGCATTTTGTATTAAAGAATTTAATTCTGATCTCAAAGCTCCTCCTGGTTTCTCCTTCTCCATTGGGTCTTTGTTCCAGACTCCTTCCTGCTGCCCCCTTTCCTTCCTCCCTTTGGGGAAAAAATGGCATTTTTCTTAGGTTCGGGAAAGGAGTCCCAGGTATGTAGGCAATGGAGCAGCCCACCTTATGTGTTGGGGTCCACAGTGCTCCAGTTCTGGCTGAACTGATCCTGGGGGACCCCATCTACCCTCTGCCATGACATGGGGGAGGGGCTCTGAAATGGGGGAGGGAGTGTCTTAGGAGCCAGGGCCTGCCATGAGCAGTTCTGCCTTCAAGAATCACGTGATCCAGGCCCTGTCCCTTGGTAGAGAAAGGAACCGGCCACACGTACTGGAGAGGGTACTGGAGAGGGCTGGGTCTGGCTATGGGGCCTTGGCTGCAGCAGGCTGGGAGTGGTAAGGGGGTGCTTATGGGGACCTGTGTCCTCAGGGTGTAATTAAGTTTTACATAGTGGGTCCTGGAGTTCCTTGAGCCCTTGGAAGATGGATGCACAGCTCTGGTTGCCCCTGAGAGGGTTCCCTGCCCCTCCTTGTTGGGTAGGCCCTTCTCTCCTGTGGTCCTAGTGAGGGTAGAAGCTATCTAGGTCTTTGGCATTTGTGAGCAATGCTTCCAAATCCACTTCCTCTTGCCTTTTACTCCCTCAAACCATATTTATTGGGCCAGCCACCACGTTAGGGCAAAGGATGCTGTTATATATAAGACGATTTCGCTCCTCAAGGATCTGGTGAGGGTGGGTGGCTGAGGAATCACAGAAATGATAAATCCATGAATAGAAAGATACGTAAAATGTGAGGGAGCATCTGTTCATCCTGAGATGTATCGGGGGTGGCGGAGTCGGGGGTTCTTGACATTACCTCTTGGTAGCCCCTTAAAGAATGGGTAGGAGAAGATAGAACTGGGAGGAGGGGGTGGTTGAAGCAGATATTCCAGGCAGAAGGGGCGGTATGAGCAAAGGTATAAGGGGGACTCTCTAGTGGGTGGTGGTGAGGAGTAGAGGCAGGAGAGAGGCAGGGTTAGCTCACAGGGAGCTTGCAATGCCATGTCAAGAGCTTCTGGCCTATCAGAGATGAGCAACAATTGAGAGGTTTTAAAAGGAGCACCTAGTAGTGTGGCAGGCAGGAGGCAGCGAGGCCAAAAGGAGGCTGTTGCATCCCTCCAGGTGGAGGTGCTGTGGGTGTGGTGGCGACTTCTGCCTCTCCTGGCTACACTGTGGGGAGGGGAGGCAAGGTCCCTGACCCTGACTGAGCATTTGGTCTAGTAGGCACTTTGCACCTGCTGGCTCTTCCATTGGTTAACACGGAATCCACACCACAGCCCTGTGTAGTAAGGACTCTTGTCATCCCAATTGGGTATTTGCTGGAGCCTCCGAACTGGCCTCCCAATTCTCTTACCCTCACCACCCCCCTTAAGTTGATTCTCACACCATAGCCAGAGTGAGCCTGTGAATCTGTGGGCCAAATCATGTCACCATTTGGCTCAAAACAATGCAGAGACTCTATTTTACTCAGAGGAAAAACAAAAGTTTATACGATGGCCTGGAAAGGCCTGGAACCATCTGGGCTGTCTACCTCCCTGGCTCTATGACTTCTGACCACTCCCTTGGTCACTCAGCAACAGTCACTATGGCCTCTCTGTTCCCAGGCTGTGGGCTCTCTCCCACCTCAGGGCCTTTGCACTGGTGGTCTCCTCTTCCTGGAGCACTCTTCTAGACATGGCAACGTGGGGCTCTCTTACCTTCAAGTCCTGTTACCTTCTCAGGGCAGCTACCTTGGCCAGTGCGTTTACAATTGACACTGCTTCCTCACTCTGCACTTGGATCTTCCTTCTCACCTCCCTTCTTTTTCCCCATAATATGTGCCATCATCTTCTCACCCGTTCTAGAATAGCGGTGTCCAGTAGAGCTGTCGTGTGAGCCACACATGTAATTTGAAATTTTCTAGGAGTCAGATTTAGGGAGATAAAAAGAAACAAGTGAAAATAATTTTAATAATACATTTTACTTAACCCCAACATATCTAAAAATACCATTCCAGCCTCTAATCTCTATAAAAATTATTAAGGAGAGATTTTCCTTTTGTTTGAAATCTTTGAATCTGATGCATTTTTTAAAAGATTTTATTTATTTATTTGACAGAGAGAGCACAAGCAGGGGGAGAGGGAGAAGCAGACCCCTGCTAAGCAGGGAGCCTGATGTGGGGCTCGATCCCGGGACTCTGGGATCAGGACCTGAGCTGAAGCCTTAACTGACTGAGCCACCCAGGTGCCGCATGTGTTTTGTTCTTATGGTGCCTCTCAGTTGGGAGCAGCCACATTACAAGTGCTTGGTATACACATGTAGCTAGTGGCTAATATTTTGGACAATGTAGCTCTAAAGCTTACTTTCCCTTTTGTCTGTCTCTCTGCCCTCTACCTCTGACCCCACTAGAATGCTGGCAAGGTGTGGGCAGGCAGAGATTTTTTCTGTTTCCTTCATTGCTGTACCTCCAGCTCCTAGAACAGTGCCTGGAACATAATACGTGCTTAATTAACGTTTGTCAAATGATTGAAATTGAGAACCTGAGGCCTGGTGACTGAAGGGTTCATCCCAAGGTCATGGAGGTGGGTGAGGCCAGCAGTGGCAGTGGGGGTTGGAGGGGGCTCACTGACAGGTGGAGACACTTGAACAGGCTTGGACAAAGAGGGGACTCAGAGCCAGCAGTAGGGATTAGGGACAGAGAGGCCTCTCGGTCAGTGCCAGGCACCATTTCCCCCTGCGGATGGGGCTCATGGTTTCTGCTTGCCAGTTGGGAAGTAGGAGGCTCAGAGAGGGCAAATAACGAGCCCGAATTTATGCACAGCCAGGAAATGGCCAAGCCAGAATTTAAACCAGCTTTCCAGACTGCAGTTCTAGTGCTTGGTCCACCATACCGTGGTTGCCCCGGGGCTAGGGCAGAGCATCAACAAGTAAAAATGAATTGTCTAGACTGAATACAAACAGCCAGAAGAAAAGTGGGACAGGGGGAGGATGTGGTGGTGGCCAAACCCAAGGCTGAAATCCAGAGTCCCCAAGTGTGGTAAGGCAAGGCAAGAGATGTCTCCAGGGGCTGGGGCTTGTCAGTGGAAGATCCGAAACCTAAGCATGAAAGAAATTGCAACATGCAGCCTTGGAGGAGAGAAACAGTCTTTAAATAGACTATGGGGAAAAGAAGGATAAAATGAAAACGTTGCATCCTCTGGTTGTATAAGACCTGCTCATCCCCCACCCTGGAGGGAGGCCCAGCGCCGAGCTGTCCCAGCTCATCTCTCCCTCTGTGGGACTCACACCCTCCCCTCTGGCCTGGCCACTTTCCCCCCCTGGAGATACACAGTGCTCCTTCTCAACTCCGATCTGCCCGGCCTGAGTCCCTTTCTTTTTTTCCTAAGCAGGGAAAGATCCTGGCCCTAGCCCCAAAGGCCTTGGGAGTACTTGCTTCTCCAAGGAACCTGCCAGCCGACTCTTTTCCCTCCTGCAGTGAAGCTGGGCAGATCCACACAGACCTTGGTGGTGCTGGATCTGTTTAATATGTGAGGACCATTGTGGTGGCCTGTGGGCAGCCACGGCTGCCAACTGTTCTTCCCATCCCTGGGCACACGTGCCATCCTCTCATCAAGAAGTAGAGTCTATTTTTCCTCCTTTGCATCTGGGCTGGCAGGAGAACCTGCTTTGACTAAGAGAACATGGCAGAAGGGCTGTTCTGGGACTTCTTGGCCTGCATCTTCAGGGACAATGTGGTTTCCATTTTGCCCTCCTGAAAGGCAGCTGCCATGTTGTAAGGAAGTCCAACTTCCCTTGGAGAGAGCCATGCAGAGAGAAGGAGAGAGGCTCAGGGCAGGAACAGCTCCCAGCTGTTCCAATCATCCCGGGTTGAGGCACCAGATGTGCGAGTGAGGTCATTTTGGATTCTCTAGGCCCAATGGATCTGCTCTTGCCAACAACACATAGAATGAGAAGCTATCTGTTGCCCAAACACACACAGTCATGAGCAAATGCACCAACTATTGCTGTTTCAAGCTATGAAGTTTTGGGAAGATTGTTACCTAGCAATCATAACTAAATCACCGAACTAAGTGGTCACTTCCCTGGGGCTAGGACCTTTGTCTCTTCTCAACCATAGTGTTTTATTGGCATGTGGGGGGTAGAGTGAAGTTTGAAGAAGGAAGGACATGTATATTATAGACTCAAAGACCAGGGGTCTGTCTTGGTGGGAAGTCTGGTGGGAAGATCAGGACAAGGCAGTATTGTCCAAAGTTTTGGAGTGAGGAAAGCAAGTCAGTTCTATGGAGGTCTCATCAGGAGAAAGTGGGCCTTACCTACAGCATGAGTCGGGGAGGCTAGAAGCTAAGAAGAACTGGCCGAGAGAGAAGTGTAAGGAATTTGGAGGAAAAACCTATGGAATCTTTTTCCCCTCCCTTCCTCCTCTCTTCCTCCCATCCTCCAGCATTTATGGACTACCAGCTATATGTGCCGTGCCCTGGTATAGAATGACTTCTCCTTTTATAGGGGTGGCTTTAGCACACCCCAGCCTAGAGACGGGGACGGGGGGGGGGGGGGGGGGCGTGGCTAGTGGAGGAGGTAATCTCCAAGCCCTCTGGGTTGGCCTCAGAATTGTTGGGGGAGAGAATATGCAGCCACCTGCACAGGCCACCACCCATCAGGACTTGGGGAGTAGGGGAGGGGAACCGGTAAATATTTATAATCTGCTTGGAAAGGGAAAAGGCAGAGATAGGGCCTGGCGGAGGGCTGCAGAGGAGGGGATGGAAGCCACTCAGAAGGGGGAAGAGCTGGAAGGGAGGGGAGCGGGAGTTCATGGGAAAAGGACCCCTCAGGCTGAGGTGCCTATGGGTGGAGGGCGGGGTCTGGGTCTCCTCAGGACGAGGGGGCTGGGATCCCAAACAGCTTTTAAAAGCTTGCATCTGCCTTTGGTGGTGGTGGGATGCAGGGGAGGTAGTC